CTTTTTCAGGGTTTTTGACCATGTCTGGCTGTGCTCAGGCTTTGCTCCTGGCTCTGCGCTTAGTTTTCATTTACACCTGGCAGGACTTGGGGGACCATAAAGGATGTCGGGGATCAAACCCGGTTGGCCACGTGCAGGGCAAATACCCTACACAGTATACTGTCTCTCTGGTTCGAAGATCCCAAATCTTACTTGTTTCCCCTCCTCTCTACTCTGGGTTTCCTCATCCCTCATGTGGAACTTGCATCTTCATGGCCTTCCAGAGAAGTGGCTGATCTGCTTTCTTCTTAGAATGCCTTGCAGACCCTCGGTTTTTATTTGTAGTTGGAGAAAGTTTTTAGGTCTGCAGAAAGCAGATGTCTATTTCCCTAAGGTTTTTGAGCAAGGAAGGAGCTTTCAGTGAGCGGAGGGCCACAAGTACTGCAGGTATTGAGTGTGTGCAGTAGAGCTGTCCGCTTAGCAATTTTGGGTTAATTTTGCAATCTAGACTTTACAGACTTCAAAGGGACTGACCAGTAGTATACATTACAAAGAACTTAGGATTTGTCCTGAGGTTTCCCAACTTTTAATTTTACCAAATGATATTTAAGATGTATATCTATTTCTGTACCATTGGTAGTTAATACTTGCTCAGGATACAACATTCAAAACCTACAAAAGGCTATATATTGAATAAAATAAGTTTCATACTTCCTCTCCAGTTCCTTAACTATCCAGTTCCCTTCCCAAGAGGCAAACCGGGTTGCTTGATCATCCTTCCAGAGATAGCCCTCGCATTTAAAAACAGGTATGAATGTACTGACACTCTCCCCTCCCCCAGTCAATGGTGATACATTCAATACAGTTTGCATCTTTAGTTTTTTTTTTTCCTTTTTATATAGACCATTTTTTGGGGGGTGGGGATACCACATCTGATGGTGCTCAGGGGCCATTCTTGGCAGTGCTTGTGGCTCCATATGTGGATCCAGGGTTGTGGCCAGAGCTGCATGCTAAGCAAATCTTTTATTATCTGTCCTGCCCCCCCCCTTTTTTTTTTTTGCTTTTTGGGTCACACCCAGCAATGTACAAGGGTTACTCCTGGCTCATGCACTCAGGAATTACTCCTGGTGGTACTCGGGGGACCATAAAGGATGCTGGGAATCGAACCCAGGTCTGCTGCATGCAAGGCAAACACCCTACCTGCTGTGCTATCGCTCCAGCCCCCCACCTTTTTTTTTAAGAGCTCTTTTAAAATTAGTGATAGAATGCTGCCTCATTCTTTATAATGACTGCATGATATTACAGAAGTATTAAAAGCAAACATGTATTATTGTTTGGATTGGAAAAGCTTATTTAAGCACCAAAACATTAGAAGGAAAGCAATTATTATATATAGAAAATTAAGTGAATTTAGTTTTGTGAAAAGTTAATTCTGTACATTCGTGTAGAGACATATGTTTGTAAACTTGCTAGAGATAAGTAATTGAAGAACTTAAATCACTTATTTATTCACTTACTATTGTCACTTTTTATAGTGACATAATCACTTACCTATTTTTTATTATTAGAGATTAAAGCACTTAAAATTTTTTTCCAGTATTTTTTTTAAAGGAGTTTTGAACTTATTTCATTTTTTGCTTTTTGGGTCACACCTGGAAATGCTCAGGGGTTACTCCTGGCTCTGCACTCAGGAATTACTCCTGGTGGTGCTCGAGGGACCATATGGGATGCTGGGAATCGAACCTGGGTTGGCTGCATGCAAGACAAACGCCCTACCCACTGTGCTGTCACTCCAGCCCCAGTATTTTCATATTTTAAACCACACCTGGCTGTGCGATGTTGGGGATCAAACCCAGATTGACTGCTTACAAGGCAAACACCCTATCTCTAGATCACTTATTTATTTAAAGAGAAACTGGTGAAAGAAACAGGAGTGTGGTTGGGCTGAGTATTATTTAGATAATACCCTGTGGTACCTGAGTGAATGAACGAGAGGACAAGAGGCACCCAAAGGGGCTATCCAGGGGAACCCTCTGCTACTCGTGGTGTTAGACTACACAGTTAGCCAGCCTGCTCTGAAGGCACTGTGTATTTATAGCAGCCATATGTCTGTTGGGTTGGCGTAGGAAGAACTGTTTCAGGGTTACTTATTCTTTTTGTTAATTTATTTTTAACAATTCATCTTTGCACAGTACCATTAGGAACTTTGAAAAACAGCTTCTCAGGTCTCTGTGGAAAATACCACATGAAATGATGCAGATCTGAACTTGGAGAGCCATCGAAATCAGAATGGGTAGCTGGAATCAGAGCCTTGGAAATCTGACAGGACATGCGACCTTTGGGGAGAATAGGAGCAAATGAGTTTTCTGAATCTTCCCCCCCCTTGGGTTGGGTTGCACCCAGTGATGCATAGGGGTTACTTCTGGCTTTGAACTTTACTTCTGGCGATGCTCAGGGGACCGTATGGGATGCTGGGAATAATTGAACCTGGGTTGGCCATGTGCAAGGCAAATGCCCTCCCCATTGTTCTCTCGCCTCCCTGAACTGTTCTTAAATGCCCAGTGCGTGCAGCCTGCTATGATAGGTTAATGTCAGGCCAACTAGCAGAGAGGGTGCTAGCATGGATTGAAGGTGGCACGGCATACAGATTCCAGGAAGCAGACCTACTCATTTAAGTTACACATATTTATCAGGATAGCACATTTTGTATGAGGGACTGGATACAGGGAAGGAAGGAAGTGGCACAAATCCAGGTTATAGGGGGAAGATAAAGGAAGAGTCTAAGCCTCATTGTAGAGTAGAAATCTGATTAAAGCAAATATATTTAATTGTATATGTCTGTGATGCCAGAGATGAAACCACAGGCCTTATACATGCAAGACAGGTGCTCTCCCACTGAGCTATACCTTCAGCCTACAAACTCAGTTAGTTATCTGTTTATTTTTGTGGTGCCAGAGATCAAACCCAGGACCACATATGTGTAAGGCAAGTACTCTTATCACTGAGCTACATCCCTTATGTTTAGAAGTATATGTATTTCAGAGAACAAGTGCATAAGTTTTTCTTTACTTTCGGTCATTAATGCATTTTTGGAAGGAGCAACACATTTCTGTGTTTGAAAGATAAGTCTCCTTCATACCATTTCCCTTCCTTGTCCCTGATATCCTGTCACTCCTCGAATCAGGTTTACATACCAGAAAGAGAATTCTATTTGGATTACTCTAGCTACAAGAGGATTTAATATGAGCAATTAGGCACTTGAGAATTGTTGGAAGGGCTGGTCCTCCAGTTGGTGGGGTGCTGCCTTAATAGCAATTTGAAGAACCACTGATGGAGATCAGGACATCTCACTGCAGTGCTTTCTCCACTGCTCTTGTGCGACACTCAGGACGTCGTGCTAAACCTCTGGAGCTGCACGTGAGCAGAGGAGCAGCCCCAGAAGGCGATCAAGGTCCTACAGTCCTGGCTCCACTTCCTAAATTAGAACCTGCATTTAGCAAGACCCCCTGCTGCTTTGCAGAGCAGGGAACTGAGAGACCTGCACATGGGGCACCTATCTTCAGACCCGTGGTTCTTGGGTATGGTTCCCAGTCGTCAGGAAGTCTGGGAAACGACGTTAATGGTCTTCCTGACCCTCAGTCTGGGAAGGTGAAATGGCAGTTGAAGAACCTGTTAATGAACTTAACAGATTCCCACAACTAGCCTTTCTTAGTTTCTTGTTTTCTTGTTAGCTTTCTGTTATGTATGTTGTAGGCATCCATGAACATATAAGGTTTTTTATTTTTGCTGTGATTTTGGTCCACGTCTGGCTGTGCTCAGGGATCATTTCTGGTTGTGATGGGGTGGGGATAGGGCATGGGAACCATTGTGGTACTAAGGATCTAACCTTGGTTTGCCACATGCAAGGCAAGCGCCCTACCTACCCACTGTGCTGTCTCCCAGCCCCCATGTATTTTTTTTACAGTGTTTTGCATCTGACTGTTTTCACCTAAAAGTAAATCCTGGGAGAGGTTTTCATGCCATGACACAAAACCATCCTTTTTACAATTGAGTGGTAATCCACCATATGAATTATAAAATTGTAATTGAAACTGTCTTCAGTAGTGTGGGCTGGATGGTCATTTTAACTTATTCACATATGTAAAATATAACATAGTTGTTAAATAATTACTTCCTCCTTCCTTTGTATTAGGTCTTGTGTATTTGTTGTCTAACTTATTTACTTTTGGCTTTTTTCTTTTTTTTTTAATGGGGGGGAGGGGGAGTTGCCTGGCAATTCTCAGGGATTACTCCTGGCTCTGTACTCAGGAATTACTTTTGATGGTGCTCAGAGGACCATATGGGATGCTGGGGATCAAACCCCAGTTGGCCGCATGCAAGGCAAATGCCCTCCGCACTGTACTATTGCTTCAGCCCCATCTTGTTTAACTTTAGCTGTGACCCAGTGTGTTGAGTATTCTTCCTTCACTTTATATGTGAGAAATAAGGATCTGAAAGGTTAATTTAGCATTTATTTCTTTTTGTTTGTTTTTGAACCATACCTGCAAACGCCCTACCCAGTGTACTAATGTCTCCAACTCCTAATTTCATATTTAATAGATGAAGGAGTATATTGGTGGGGATTGGAACCCTAAGTCTGTTAGCCTTCAGAATTTGTGATTTGACAGTTACAAACAACCTTTAAATGGTAGGCTTTATTTAGTGCTTTGATAACTAACACCTTCGAGGAAAAGTTTTTTTGTTTGCTGTCTTGATTTTTGGTTGTTGTTGTTGTTTATTTTTTGGGCCACACCCAGCAGGGTGCAGGGCTGATTTCCTGGCTCTGTGCTCAGGGATCACTCTTGGCGGGGCTCACGGGCCTATATGGGATGTCAAGGATCGAACCCCGGTCAGCCATGTGCAAGGCAAATGCCCTCCTCCTATTTTATTGCTCAGGCCTGTGGGAAAAGGTTTGAAGGGCACAGTTTTTGTTTTTTCAGATAGATAGTAAATGCATTTCTCTGTCTTTTTTTCTGACTCAGGTATCCAGCTCACATAGAAGACATTGACTACGAAGAAGGAAAAGTACTCATCCATTTCAAGCGTTGGAACCATCGTTATGACGAGTGGTTCTGCTGGGATAGTCCTTATTTACGTCCATTAGAGAAAATACAACTACGGAAAGAGGGCTTACATGAAGATGAAGGATCTTCTGTGAGTAGCAGATCTGGAAGGTTCTGTAATAGGCTGGATCCTCCTTGACAGCTTTGTTCTGCCTTGGATGTCACATGCAAGACAGCCAGTTGCTTGGGCCTGTGGTTGAAACTGAGGTTTGCATGACTGCTGGAGTTCTGGAGGAATCCCAGATGTCATCGGTTTGGGATGCTCTTAGATCAGTGTTTTTCAATCTTTTTCAACCATACCCCCTTTCTGATCTTGTTTCCTTCCTTTGGCTCCCCTGTTCACTGGTTGGACTCCTAATCCACCCTCCCCTGCCAGCCCTGTAATGTGTTGCCTTTAATCTTGGAATATCCTGGGAGCCCATGAGTATAAGGCCTTTGGTTGAGAAACACTGTTTTTTTTTTTTTTTTTTAATCACATCCAGCGATGCTCAGGGGTTACTCCTGGATCTGAACTCAGAAATTACCCCTGGCGGTGCTCGGGGGGACCATACAGGATGCTGGGAATCGAACCTAGGTTGGCCATGTGCAAGGCAAACGCCCTACCTGCTGTGCTATCATTCCAGCCCCAGAGAAACACTATTTTAGATCAGTGGTCTTCAGTCAGCAATTCATGGTCTGTGCCAGCATGTAGAAAGGTTGAAAAATACTCCTTCAGATCATTAATAATGTCTTTTTATAAAGTAATCTTTTCATATGGTGCACCAGGCAAATTTTTCAATTTTCAAATTTTTGGGCCGTACCCAGTGGCTCACTCCTGGCTCTGCGCTCAGGGATCACTCCCAGCGGAGCTTAGGGAGCCATCTGGGGTGCTAGGGGTCAAACCCCAGGTTGGCTGCGTGCAAGACAAGTGTCCCGCTAGCTGAACTATTGCTCTAGCCCAGCATCAGGCTGTCTTTATATCAAGAACTTACAATTGATTAGACCGGACTCATTGGTTTGTTTTTGTTTTGATTTTGTTTGGGGGCCATGCCCAGCTGTGCTCAAGGTTGGATTTTTGTTTTCTAAGTTTCATCACTCGACCAGGAATTTTTACTGACTCAGAATAAAGACCTACTTCTGAGTTTTGAGTTTTTAAAGCCAGCATTGAGGCATTTATGAAAAACCTTTGGAGCAGACTCAGCCCTGACTTCTGTTTTTCATTTTTACCACCTGACCAGAGAAAGACCATGAACTCTTGAGAGCCTTTTTTGTTATGTTTTTCTTTTCCAATTTAGGATTGTTCACTGTTATCCATTTGGTTGCTCAATATCCACTTTTAAATATTAATTCAAGCTCTGTGTTGTGAAGACAGTATGAAATATTAAAGGTAATGGGTTTCCTTTGGCAAAAGTCCCTTTGAAAGCTTGGGTGTCATTAAGAGGAGGGAATGTTTCTTTCTCCCAGCTTGTGTGCTGGGATATTTGCTGGGAGGCCTGGGCTTTACTCATTTCTCAGAAGTGGCAGATGAGTCTCAGCACTTGGCTGCACTTGCTGGCTCTCCCTCGATGGGAAAGGTTTTTTTGTTTGTTTGTTTTAATTATTGTTAAATTACCAGGAATTACAGAGTTATAAAGATATTTATGGTTGAGTTTCAGGCATATATTGTTCCAGCACCAATCCCTTCATGAGTGCGATATTCCTGTGGATGGGAAAGTCTTGTTTCCAGATCTTTTGCCTTGAGCTCCAAAGCTGAGCACCAGGAAATGAGGGCTGGAGTGATGGGTATGGCACTTTCCTGGCATTCAGCTGATCTGGGTTCAGTCCTCGACATCTCATAAGGTCCCCTGAACTCCCTCCAGAGCACTGTCAGGAGTGACAGCAAGACAAAAAAAATGTTTTCCTTTGTAGCCCTCACCATTTCCCCTTCTTATGCTGCCCAATTCCTGCCCCTATTTTTAAGAATTCTAGTTCAATGTGTGTCTTACTGAATTAAATTGGTGATAGTCTCTTTTGTTTGTGTGTGTGTGTGTGTTTTTTTTTTTGTTTTGTTTTTTAGGAATTTCAGATAAATGAGCAGGTCCTTGCTTGCTGGTCTGATTGTCGTTTTTACCCAGCCAAAGTCACTGCTGTGAACAAGGATGGTAAGGCATTGAAATTGGGATTGTTTCCATTCATGGCTTGGGTGGGGAGTGGTGTCTTGAGCATTTGGTAATATATTTGCAATGTGTGTGAATTACCTAGGAATCCTCTCTTTAAGCTAACTGCCAGGTAGGGAGTTAGGAAAAGATTATTAATGGGGAGGAAGCTGGTTGAAAAGGGGGACTTTGATTTTTTAATTTTAATTTTTTTTTTTTAGTCTCAGTTACTGTTTTCTGAAACACAGTTAATCTGTCACTTGTCTGAGAAGTGTGCAGGCTCCTGCTGTCTAGGAAAGTCTAGTGGATGCACTCAGCCCCTCTGATTCCTTTTTTTGTGATAGTGGAAGGATCAGTTGAACATGTCTTTAAAATATGCTTTGTGGATGTGGGGAGAGAAGGGTGGTCTGTACTATAAGAGCTGCTAGTTGAAATTGTGGTGCTAGTATTTGGAGCATGGAGTTGAGATGCCTTTGCCAGTATTTTTGGAAATAGAAGGAGTCAGGACAGGAAATTTGACTCAACTGAGGTTAATTTTGCTAATCTAAGGGTAAGAGGAGCATTACCAAAATAAAAATATGTGTTCGTGGGCTGGAGCGATAACTTGCCTTGCACACTGCTGACTCTGATTTGAATCTTTGGCATCATATATGGTCCCCTGAGCACTGCCATGAGTGATCCCTGAGCATAGAGCCAAGCGTAAGCCCTAAGCACTGCAGGTGTGGCCTCCTCCAAAGTATGGGTAATAACGTCTTAATTCTCAGACAATAGACTCAAAGTCTAAGCAATCCTCATTTTAGCATTTTCTACCAAAATGATCATAGTTTGCTCAATATCTCTACACACTGTCTGGGACAGGTAGAACAGTTAGTGCAATTCTTAGGGGTGATCGTACACTAAGTTTTCATTTGATAAAATTATTTAAGTATTATGCAGCACTCTGCTGACCAAAAAGTTTTGTCTGACTGGGAAAGTGTCTCAGCAGCAAAATACTTGCTGTGCATGTGTGTGACCTCGAGTTGATCCCTGGCACTGAAATAAATAAATCTGCGAATGGGTCAAAAAATATTTTTTGATCTGAGACATGGTCATAAATGAACAATATCAGTACGCGATAGAACTTTGGATTTCTCTGAAGCTCTGTATCGCCTTCCTCTGACCCCACCCCACATAGCTAGACTATGGTTAATAGGGATGGAGGTTACTCGCAGACCAGCCCTCACTTTCCCTTACAACACACCCTTCTTCAGGGAGGTTGCTCATATGGTAGAGTACATGCCTGATATGTGTGAGGTTGATCTCAGACACTGCATGTCCCTCACCACTCTGCATGACCAAGGTGACACTAGTGGCCCCTCCAGTGGCCTCTGAGCACTGCCTGAAGTGACCCTTATTTTTAAAAAAAAACAATGTAAAACCCCACAGTTTTCTAGCCTCAAACCTCCAGAGGAAGATAAGCTCTGATTTTCCTATCTCTAGTAAATTTATGTTCATGATAAAATTTATGTTCTTTTCTTAGGAATGAATTACTTTAACCTAGAAAAGTCTTATTTTGAAGGAAAACTGAGATTTCCTTAAACTTTTGTTTCAGATACTTTTAGTAGAATAATTTTTCGTGGGGTGGGGGGGCAGCCATACTCACGGTGCTTGGGGGACCAAGTAGTGCCAGAGATTGTACCTGAGGCTCTGCATGCTAAGCTTGTACTCCAGCCCTTTGACATGTCTCTGGCCCTCCAAAATACAAAGACTCTTTTCAGTCTTCATTTCAAAATTAATTTTTCTGTTCACTGAATTTTAAACCATTTGATATGAAATACAGGTGTTCTTGATATACACAAATGTATTCCTGGAAAGTTGATTGTTTCATGCTAATCCAGCCATATACCCGCTCCAACCCTCAAATAATATAATCCGAGGTGTTCTACTTTGGGAAGAGAGCTGTCCTTTTGATTAGGGAAACGTTGAGTATTACAAGGGTAACTTGAAAGTAAGGAGGTGGCCTAGAACAGGCATTTTTCTTCTGTTCCAGTCATGTCCAAGAGCCAGTGAGGGTTGAAATGGGGAACAAGGAATTGTATTCTGACAGTGGCAAAGGAGGGGCAAATTGAGAGAGGAACTTGGAATCCTCTCCAAGGGAGATATCTCACAGGGGGTGGGGCAGTAAAGGATTAGGGTCCTGTTATTTGCATCTGGTATCTGTAGCATGAAGAACTTGAATATTCCCCTCACCCATACCCAAAGACCTAGTCCAGGGTGGGAGCAGGGTGGTGCAGATGAGATCTTTTATTGTTATTGGGCCAAACTTGGAGGTGTTCAGGGCTTAATCCTGGCTGTGCTCTGGGAACATATAGAGGGCTGGGGATTGAACCCCAGTCATCCATATGCAAATCAAGTGCTATAACTCTCTATACTGTCTGACCCCTCAAGCTGTTATGGGTAGTGGGTTTTTTGTTTGCTTTTTTTTTTTTTGCTTTTTGGGTGACACCTAGCAATGCTCAGGAATTACTCCTGGCTGTGCTCAGGGACCATGTGGGATGTTGGCAATCAACCTGAGTCAGCTGCGTGCAAAACAAAAGTCCTATCCACTGTACTGTCTTTCAGACTCCCCCCCCCCCCCAGTTGTTTTTAAAAAAATGTTTTCAGTGTATTTTCTCCATGAGTTCCAAATTATATGTGGGGAAAACTTAGCTAATGGTTGTTCTTGAAACAATCTTTTACAACCTTATTATATTGGCTCTGTAAGTTTCAGATTAGGTCTTGTGAATTTTAGTAATCAAAGGACATTGAGAATGAGTGAGAATTTCTGCTAAAATCTGCTCAAGTTCTTGACTTTCCCTTCTGATTATGCCTTACTAGTCTATTTTCATTTTATTTTTGGAGCTAGGTATCAAACCCAGGTCTTTATCCATCAAAGCATGCTCTCTGTCATGAAGTTATTACAGTTTACTAGTTTTATTTATATGGGCTGGAGCGATAGATAGCACAGCGGGTAGGGCATTTGCCTTGCACAGGGGTTATTTATTCCTGGCTCATGCACTCAGGAGTTACTCCTGGCGGTGCTCAGGAGACCATATGGGATGCTGGGAATCAAACCCGGGTCGGCCGCATGCAAAGCAAACACCCTAACCGCTGTGCTATTGCTCCAGCTCCTCTTTGGTATTTCTTATTAGTCCCCCCGGCCTCTTTTATTCTTTTTGGCCATTTCTAGTGGTACTCAGGGCTTACTCTTGGCTCTGCATTCAGGTATCACTCCTGCAGTGCTGACAGACTGTATGGGATGCTGGGGATCAAACCCAGGTCAGCCATGTGCAAGGCAAGTACACTACCCACTGTACTATCCCGTCTTATCAGTTCTTGAGAGTGATTGGAAGGGGCAGAAAGGAACGTCATAGGGGAGGAAAATCTTGAAATTTAGAGAAATTACCTGATTGGATATTTCCATGAGGTGAAGGAAAGCCTTTGTGGGAACTCTGATTTGTGCCTGTTTTTAAGGTAGAATGACTTTGAGCTGTCAGCCTTCAGTTAGATTTCATCTATGAAGGCACAGCTTCTAGTTTTTTCGTTGTAGATTCTAGAGCTTGCAAGATAAAGAGGGATAATGCTGGATTTGCTTGTTCCTCTTGTTCTTTTCTGCCCTGCCTCAGTTTCTTTTGTTTACGGGGCCACAGGGCTTAATTGGCTGTGACTAGAAGCTTTGCTAGCAAGCTGCCCCTTTGTTTCCTCTGAAAGTCATTTTGTATTCTTGGGGCTGCTAGAGGTATCTTGGTGATATGGCCTTAACTTCTGTCCAGAGAACTTGTAATTTCTTCCAAAGGTGAAATTACCCAGGTAGTTTGGAAGGCTTGTTCTGATATTCCCACCATGCCACTCATCAGAACCCTGGATTTCGGTGAGGTTGAGCATTGACTAAATAGGCCCGATGGGAGCTTTCTGGAAGGAAATAGTACTTAGATACCAGGAAAGTTATTTCCGTGTTATTTAATCCTTTTCACCGGGTTCTTTGGCCATGGCAATTTAGCATCAGTGCTAAGGGGGCTACACCCTATAGTCTTGTTACCCTCCTTAGAGCTTGGGGCTGGAATAAAGGAGGGGCTGCAGGAGAGACCCAGTGGACTGCAGTGCATACCTTTTTTATGCAGGAGCTCCTGGTTTCATACAGGGCCAGTGTTAACCCTCCTACACCAGCACTGAGCTGGAAGGAGCCCCATACTGTACCTGCCTGCCACCACCCCTCCCCTTCCCCATGTGTGCACAAAAGTAGGGAGAAGAGATTCTGCATTTCCCCTTCCCTGGGGGCTGCTCAGCTCCCTCCCTATTTTCTTACCCTGGAAGGCAGAGCAGCTTCTCTCGGGGCTTTGCTCCCTGCTGGGATTGCTCTGCTGTGTGAGACATTTTCTCTGGGGAAAGTGAAAGTACAACAAAATAAGGAAGTACTGCTTCCTGTTGACTTTGATTCTGGAACTGGAACAAGTAGAACAAGGTCCTGAAAAGTATGCATGTTCTTTTTGTTTGGGACAGGGGTTTGGGTCATACTTGTGGTACACAGGACTTACACTGGCTCTGTGCCCCGAGATATCACTTCTGGAGGTGCTTAGGGATTTCAACCCGGGTCAGCAGCACGCAAGGCAAATGGGGGCCTTACCCACTGTACTATCTCTAAAGTTCCAGTTATGCACATTCTTAAGTCATGTGACCCACCGTCCCAGTCCAGTCTTTCTGGGTTGGAGCCTGAATTTTGTGTTTGCAACAGGAAATTCTATGGACATTTCCTTGTTTCTTTCTTGCTAGAGTTGCGTGTTGAAGCAGTAACTCTTTTTTGCTTTCTTTATGCTGTAACTGATCCCAAATTTGTAGTGTGGGCTGTTAGGCATATATGAACAGTTTTGCACAGAGATAAAGGAATCCTTTTTTATAAAAAAAATTATTCAGTCCCCATGAGATATATAGTTCATGACAGAGTTTCAGTGGTACAGTGTTTGAACACCTATCATTTCACCATTATCCAC